TATATATATATATATATATATACAAAACACACACTGCAGCTAAATTCTTTTTTTCTTAAATTTAAACCAAATTGCAGGACACATATTCCAGTTCAAATATCTTTCCAATGTAGAGAACCAGTGTTTCCTCTTACTCTTATTTATTACTTTGTACCAACATAATGCTTAAATAAACCTCTAATCCCCTGTTTCTGCAAGGTTTTGTGCTCTCTTGGCCCTTTGGCGTTAGCATTAGTGGAGGATGTATGGTGCTGCTCAGGATGAGACTGGTAGCTCTTTCTGTACTACGGAATAGACTTAACGGCATATGGCTAACCAGAATGTAATAACGGCAAGTTTCATGTATTTCCCAAGTACCCTTGAGCTTTCACGTCATAGGGCATAAATGGCAGCGTTGGCCAAACTTGCAAAGGCTTTACACTCAACTTGATAGACCTGGTGGGTGGCACAGTGCGTATAGAAATTGGACTAAAAGAAGATGACCTGCCTGTCTATAATACATTCACTTGGAATGCTAATGCTGTAATTCAGGGCATGTTCTAGGCAGGAATTGCAGAATTCATTGATTTGAGGAGAATCAGAAAGCGAAAAAGAGGGAAAATGGGGACTGTGGAGCAGCTATCATCTGATTATCCCAGCCACAGATAATTGGAGAGTTGCTTAAAGCAACAGATCAGTGGTTCTCAACCACGAGTACATGCATCCGTGGGGGAATGCAGAGATCTTCCAGGGAGTACATCAACTCAGCTAGACTGGTGCCTTGTTTTAATATAGGCTGCATAAAAAGCACAAGCAAAGTCAGTACAAACTAAAATTTCATACAGGCAATGACTTGTTTGTACTGTTCTATGTATTATATAGTGAAATGTATGTATGATATTTATATTCCAATAAATTTATAATTACATGATCAAATGAGAAAGTAAGCAGTTTTTCAGAAGTGTGCTCTGACGTGTCCTCTTTCCTAAGAAACATGGTACCATTTAGTTCCTTGTAATACTCTTTGTAGCAACTGTTCTCATTTCCCACAGAGACATACCAATAGTTATTTCACTGCCGTGAGTGAACGTCTATCTTAAGTACAGTTAGAGAATTCCATATGCTGCATAATGTTTCCCATTATATCATCATAATCATTGTGTTTTCCAAGGAGTGTGGCAAATGATCAATTATCTGACAGGTACATGTACAATTATTCATGGTTCCTTCAGAAAAAAATAGACTGGAGGTTATTCCTTCCTGTCAGGAACAGAAGATTTTAAATATTGTATAAACTAAAACTGTCATATGCCAGTAATTACAAAGAAGGCCTTTCAGTTAATTTATTATCTTTTAATATTGATTATGTTAAATTATGTCAGTATGACAGCTAGATAAAATCTACATGTATAATCCAAAAAGATCATTTAAAATAAACAAACCTACACTGCAATAACAATTATAGTTTTTGTTTAATTTCACTACCAGTTTATAATTCAGAGTTAAGGCTTTTTTCTGTGAAAGAAAAGTCAATGAACCAAAAAATATTTAGCTTTCTTTATTTTGCTTTTATTTTTGCACATATGTGTTGTGTTACTTCTGTAGTCGGCTGTATATTGATAGTCTGGATGCTCATTTAATTTTCAAATCATTCTCTACTTTGAACTACAAAAACAAACTATAGAAAAATGTTTCATGGTAGATTATAAAGTCAAGACTACCACAGAGAAAACATGGTTCTAGAAAATGGCAATTAGCCACGATGGGTAGGAATGGTGTTTGGCAGATGCTGGGAATAGGTCACAGGATGGATCACTTTATGATTCCCTGTTCTGTTCATTCCCTCTGTGGCATCTGGCATTGGCCGCCGTCAGCAGACATGATACTGAGCTAGATGGACCTTTGGTCTGACCCGGTATGGCCCTTTTTACATAAAAGCCAAGAACTGGGCATGAGAATTCTGACTTTGATTACCTTTTATATTAGCACAGTCTAGGAAAAATCACTGAGAAAATGTCTTAATCTCAGGACAATATCTTTTCACCCAACTTTGCCATTACTAAAATTAAAAAATTATATTTATTCACCCACTTAAGTTGCATTTTGCAAACCAACTCTAAAAATATCTTGAACATGATATGCAGTAGACACTAGATGTTCACTGTTTTGCTCAGTCTTTGAAAATCCCATCCAGTAAATTTATATCTAATTTTAAAAGTCAGAGAAAATTTTAAATAAGAAAAAATATTTTTTCTTCTCTGTGGGTCTATTACTTCTAGGCTTCTCTTTTTAGGTTAGTTGTTTTGCGCATGTCACTTCTGATTGCTTTGTACAGTGCCTGGTATTTTGATGCCTAGGTTTGTATGATTTTATACGCACTAGATTTATTGAGTGCATGTATGTTGTCAGATAATACCATCACAATGGGATAAATAAGCCAGCTGTGATAATGAATTGTAAACTCGCAGACAGGTGAAGCCAATATTGACAGATAGCTGGGTATTAAGGACACATTGCAAAAATAATGTTCTGTTTGATAGTTATAGATTCTGGCTCCTGACCTCTCACCTTGATTGAAATATTTGGGATATACTGAGCAGCAGGGAAAATTAGTCTGGACGATGATAGGGATGTAATAGTGCAGTCGATTAACGGATAAGCAGAAGCATATAGGTTAATACTATAGACTACATGCATTTCTCACACACCCTGCCCCAGTAAATTTTTTAGCAGGCTGGCCAGTAGCCCAGCTCAGTCCCAGCTTGTGCCAGGTCCCTTACCTACCACCACTGCGGCTCTGCAGTTAAAGTGTATTAGGAGTTGGGCAGGCAGGCAGCCCAGCTCAGTCCTGGCTTGCGCCGGGTTCAAGAGCTCAGACCCCACCCTGGACAGCTGCTACTGCCATCCCATGCTGCTGCTTCTGTATCAGAGGCAGCAGCACAGGGCAACAGGCAGCTAGTCCACAAGGGCAGCTGGTTTTTAAACTGGCTCCCCTCATGGACCAGCTCCTGCCTGGCACCCCACACTGCTGCCTCTGATACAGGGGGCTCTCTGGGAGTGGGTCCAGAGCGCACTGGCTGCCGGCCCCACCCCCGGGGACTATGGAATAGTGGAGTAACCAATAAGAATCTATGAGGTTCATTGACTATTTAATTAACCAATATTTAACATCCCTAGAGGATGATATAGTAGGGTAGAAAGAAGACTGGTCTCCTGTTCCTAAAGTTACTGGAATGAATAGATTTTAGGACCGTCCTGTTGAAGCATCTTCCTCCCAAACAGTATTTCTGTTGAGGAATGAGTCAAGTAGAAAACGTGTAAAGAATGAAGTTCTGTGCAGGCCACATGTCTTAGGCTGGGGGAGAAGTCCATGCCCAAA